ACGACGACGACGACGACGACGACGACGACGACGACGACGACGACGACGACAACGACAACAACTACGAAGACGACCGGCTTGGTGCCTTCATTTTGAAACATCCAACACTTCCCTTTCGGCAATGATATTCGTCAGGTTACATCGAACAGTGGAAAAATATTTGAGCAAGACGAAGGTCAATGAACACAACATGCTGGACACAGGGGACGATGGGTACCAAGAATATGAAATTCCCGTGTGAAAAAGTATAACACGTTGGTTGTTAAAGGGACGATCATCTCTGTTCACGTGTTTATTTCGTTAAAAATAAAGATCTATTATCATCGCCGTAAAAAAAAAAAAAAACAAGAAGAAACGATACGCGAATGATAAAAAATAGAAAAGTAAAAGAGGGATACTAAAAGAGAGAAAGAGAGAGAGATAAATAAAGAAAGTAAGAAAAGGACATCGAGACACATTAAAAATCGACGTTCGAAGCCGGCTTTGAAAGTGTCACGATACTTACGTACGAAATGAGAGCCCTGAGAGAACAAAGGAGAAGAAATTATTCGCGTCTCATCTTGAAACAATTGTTCGCCTTTTCGCGAAGAAGGTAAAACGGATGAAAGGAGGAACTGCTACCGGGATGTTTACCGAGTATCGACGCCGAGCCACTGTAACAGAGAGCGTATGTAGAGAGAAAGAGACCGAATAAGATAGAAACAGAAGAGAGAGGAAGGGGAGGCGGGAGAGAAGAGAAAGAGAGAGAGAAAGAGCGAGAGAATCTCGAAGCAGCAGCAGCAGCAGGGTTCGAAATCCGTCCTATCACACGAACGCATCCGATTCACTAAGAAAAGCGACTCGACGAATCACAGATCGCAGTATGCGGCCAGGCATTGGCAACGCAAGCGAGAACGAGAGAGGATTCCGCGTTGTCGGACCTTTCGGTGATGCAGCTGCTGGAGTGTATGAACCGTGTTGATCTAACCTAACATTCCTTTCCTTCCTTCCTTCCTTCCTTCCTTCCTTCCTTCCTTCCTTCCTTCCTTCCTTTCCTTCTTTCCTTCTTTCCTTCCTTTCCTTCCTTTCCTTCCTTTCCTTCCTTCATGTCGCATATACGATATGAAGAAAAAGCTTAGGACGAATGCCGAGACCACGAGAAGAAAAAAAATCAGAAGAAATCAAGGAAAAACGAACGAAGATGCGCGCATTTTTTGATCGTTTATGCGTTCCTTGCATAGGGGAAAGAAAACTTGAAATAATAAAAAGAAATAAAGAGAAGACAAAAAAATAAAGGAGGATGCGCTAGAAAAGAAAGTTTACCTGCTGCGAAAGAAGTTTCTCTTCTTCCTACGAAAGGTACAAAGAAAATAAGAGAGAGAAAGAGAGGAGGAAGAAAGAAGGAGAAAGAGAGTAGTAGTGGGAGAAAGCCGGTGCTCACGTGCTACGGGACGCCTTACGACAAGGAATCTCGTGCTGAGAGGAGTAAGTAGATATAGACAGGGAAGAGAGAGAGAGAGAGAGAGAGAGAGAGAAAGGTGTTCTCGTTCCGCTCGTTTGCCGAATACGCACCGAGAGGATGATCCGTGTCTGAGAGAAGAGGAAACTTCCTTATCGATGGATCAGCGACCGTGCCCGGAACTGGGCTAGAGGGCCGGGGTTCGTCTCTCTCTCGGGCACCAGAGGAGAGAGAGAAGCCGGCTGATGTCTGTTTCTTCTCTCTCTCTCTCTCTCTCTACACCCCCCTTTTGACGATCGTCGTTCGTTCGTTCGTTCGTTCGTTCGTTCGTCCGTCTGTCTGTTCGCTCGCTTGTGCGCGCGCGTGCGTTAGAGTTAAAGTAGAGTTCGGCTCGAGGAGACAGCGTATAAACTGCACATCGGTGGTGCTCCCGGTGAGGAGTTCTCGTCCTCGTCCTCGTCGTCGTCGTCGTCGTCGTCCGTCGTCCTTCTCCTCCTCCTCTTTCTCCTTCTCCAAGACGACGACGACGACGACAACGCTGACGATTGCACGCGAATTATATTTTCGTACTCGATTTCTTCTTCTATTTTCTGGCAGAGTTTCTTCCTTTCTCCATTTCGTTTTCGATAATAATAACAATAATAATAATAATAACAACAACAACAACAACAACAGTAGCAGCAGCAGCAGCAGAGATAGTAATAACAAGAACAACAACGAAGACGAAGATGGCAATGATGATGATGATGATGATTATTCGACGACAGTCCTACAACGTTAGCCATAACCCACCTCCATCAAAGTCAGTCATCATCAAATCATCATATTTCTTTAAAGAACTTAAAAAATATTAGACTCTCACTTGGTTTGATCTTTCTCGAGTTTAATCTCATGAAGAAATTGCGGTACGATTGAAGACGACAACGACGTCGACGACGACACACTGTTTTTCGAAGAGCGACGACGAAAAGAAGTGCAAGACCGATTACGATTACGATGGCAACGACAACGACGGCGATTACAGTAACAGTAGCAGCACGGAGTGCCGTCAATGGCCACGATAAACAGCATTACGCGTACGTTTTCACGAGCCAAAAATTCCGGCGTGTGGACTCGTCTAATCGAAACGGAACTGGAACTGTCCGACCACCGTACCGTTCGCAACTACTACTACTACACTACTACTATACTACTACTACTACTATTCTACTACCTACTACTACTACTACTACCTAGCAGGAGGTCTTTCTCTTTCTTTCTTTCTCTCTCGTGCTATTCCTCTGTTTCTCTCTCCCCTTCCATCGGTCTCTCTTTCTCCCCCGCGCTACGGCAAATGAGCAACGAGCGAGATTCCGAGATGCGGCAAAAGGTGCAACCACTTCACCTCCCCACAGCCAGCCCGCCTCGCTACCGCCCCGCGATCACAACAGAGAAACGAACGGACGGAGACGGAGAAAGGGGGTAGTTGGCGGCGGGGTGAAAGGGAGGGAGGGAGGTAGGATCGACGATGAAGAGAGAAAGAGAAAGAGAGCGGGAGGGTGAAGCGAGCGAAGCGACGAAGCTTGGCGAGCACCGACTACTCAGGGGAAGAGAGGGTCGGTTGGGAGCAGGGGAGGAGGAGGTGGCGGTGGCAGATGGGGAAGGGGGGCGGGAGAGCTCACTCGACGTCGGAGTAAGACCGAAAGAAACGCCGCGTGACTGACGAAGAGAAGAGATTTTGCGCTCTAGGGTGAGAGAGAGTGAGAGAGAGAGGGAAAGAGAGAAGGCATATGAGACATTCCTTCGGTGAACGGATCGACCGAGTGTGAGTGCAAGCGAGCCAGTAAAATCGATGTGGCCAAGTGTGGCTGTATGTACCGGCGCGTCGTGTAAAAGGGTGCCGTTGTACCGCGATACGTTGTACGTGATACGCGCTTCGCTGCCCGGCTCTCGTCTTGCGCCTATCACGCGTCGACCTCTTCCCCTTCCACTTTACACTCTCCTCTCTCTCTCTCTCTCTCTTTTTCTCTCTATCTTTTTCTTTAACTTCCGATCGAATGTATGTCTCGTTTGATTAACATTAACTATCATCATGTTTACAATGAATAATATACTTTAGAAACGGACTGCTCATATTTTCCTTCCTCATTCATATTCTTATTCCTGTTTGATAATGTTTTCTATAAGAATTATTTAACGATCATATATATAGATACATGTGTGTAATGCAGGAGATGTATTGTATCGGTGTATATGACGTAGATTTTGCCGCGTCGTTGTTGGTCCATCGTCGTCATTCGTGACGTCGTTCGCGCGTTCAAGGGGATTAAAACGGTCAACGGCTACATTCCGTGCCACAAGTGTCAGGTGTAAATTCACCTTTAAGACCGGAGCGCCCTCGTGAGGATGCGATTCCCGTCTAATGGTGACGGCCCTGTGTGCACTACGTCCTCCTCGTCGTCTACCGTCTCGTCGTCGTCGCGTGTCATCGTCGTCGTCGTCGTGGTACCTCGTGCAAGCGCGCGTATTAGCAGAGAGAGACCAACCTACCGGTGGTAGTCTCTTAGTGGTGGGGATGATTCCGCGAACGAGCCACCTACAGTCGTCGCGAGCGAGAGCGGAGCAGCATTGCTTGTTGGACCGTCGACTAGGTCGGATTGTTCAACTTAACATCATTTCTACGTGATTTTTTATGATCTAGATTCCTCTTTTTACCAATTCAAATGTTGTTTTCCCTCTTTATGCAATTATAGATACATTTAAACAAAAAATAAATTATATTCCATCGAATTTGTTTGTAATTATGAAGTTTATCTTTTTACAATTCTTACGAATACTGTTCATCAATATACGTGCGTGAAATCTGGTTCTGTTGTGAAAGAGAAAAAGACTAAGTGCATAATATTTGGAATCGACTAACGATACAACAGTGCATCGCGAGTGAAGAAGAATCCGATAATTAGTGTTTGTAGGTCAACCATTTTGGTGAACTCTAATGGACAAGATAGAAAACGCTAATGGGTAATAACAAGATTTTCTAATAAAATTTCAAAAAAAAAAAAAACAAATTCTTACATATCCAAAGCGTGCTTGTTATCCCCTTTAAAAAAACCTATCCTACAATGTCAAGAAAGCAAAAAAATCCCATTAAAAGTGTTAACGAAAAGAAGTGCAAGTGTGCATGTGTCCCTCTTGCAATTGGATAATTCGTAGACTTTGCAATGCCATTCGATCGTAGAAAAGACATCAAGAACGAAGGTGGCAATATAATAATATTTGATGATAATAGGAAAAGAAAAAACATGCAAGATTGCGTCAACAGAACATAATAGAAAAAAAATTGAATGCATAAGCAAGATAGTTTCCTGGGGTCTGGTCTGGCTTAGCTGCTAGCAAGCAGGCTGGCTGGTGTAGTAGGCTGGTTGGTTATGGTTTAGTAATTCCCTCTCCAGAGTGAGTGAGTGCGCGCGCGCGCTCTTCCACCAAGAAGCAGCAATAGGTCGCACACTCATTAGCCCAGTCGCGCGCGATTTCCCCCACCCGTTGATGGTGCCGGCGGCCGACCAGCTGATCGGCCACGCGGCGTTGCCTCGTTGTTAAGACTTGCGCTCTGACTCGCCACGCGGTTTCTGTATACAACGAAGAGGAGAGGACGCTGCTCCTCCTCCACTACTACAAACAAGAAGCGCGCGCGCACGTTCGCGCCCTATTCTCAGGAGAGGCTAGATATACGCTTCGTCTGCGGCACTGTGCAAGGACGAACACGAACGTCGACACGGACGACAACGGCAACGCAACGACAACGACAACGACAACGACAACGACAACGACAACGCAACGACAACGACAACGACAACGACGACGACGACGACGACTACTACGACGGACAAACGAACGAATGCGCGCTACGTTACGCTACTCTACTCTGTTCTCTCTCTATTTTACTGTCAAACACACATACACACGTCGGTAAAACTCAATATCTTTTTTCTTTCTCTTTCCTTACACTCTACTCTACGGCTACGTTTTATTATCCCAATGGGAATTAACATCTTCATTATCTTTTGATATAATACGCGTTACATACTGTCGATAAACAGCTACAAGAACTTTCGATATGGATGAATAATGGATCAGCGTTGAATGAAACTAGAATAATTAGAGTCAAACGTTTTCGGATAAAAATAGTCTTAATACTTATTGTAAATACGTGTAGTAGAATTTAGAATCTCTTCTACTATTTTAATGAAGAGAAGAGAGAGAAGATCCATCTTGGATTGGGTTTGGGATTCCTATTCTCGTCGAATCGGAGAGATAATAATGATCGCGTTCGGATGACACACTTTTCCTGTTATATGGCATATCTCTCGGTAGTCGAACCGTTACAATGCAACTTGACAACTCGGCACGATACTTGGCTCTCGGCCTGAAGCTAACTATAAAAGAAAGAAGTTCTTTCGACCGGCAAGATGGAACACACTGCTGGCAACCTTGGAAAGCTGATTAATCGAATATACGAGAAATCTTCCACTCCCTTCTGACTGTGACGATGATGCGTTAACTACCGCTGTTTACTTTATTTTAACATCACAGAGCTGTTCCAAATAACAAAATGTGAGTCATCGCTACCCAACAATTTGGAATGTTTTATACCTGCGTAATCTGACCATCGTTTGCTTTTAACCAATAGAAATAAATCAAACTTAACCGTTTGTACATTTTCCTATCAACCGAAATAAAGTAGAATATCCGATCGTGGAATGTTGCATGCAAGAAAGACGACCATACAGATAATATGCGTAAAAATAACGCTTTCTAATCATGCACTTGATAACTTCATTCCTTTCCAGACTATTATCAATGGAAAATTTCAAAAGAGTTCATGTCTCTTATCGTATGTAACTTCAATTTCGCGCCATTTTCCCCCTAAAAGAAGAAAGAAAGAAATAACATTACCGATCGAAAATTTAGTATCCCATAGATGGTGTAGGGATCTCGTTTGATGAGAATAAGAAGAACAAATCGTAGAACAATGATTTCTTCCGAGTTTTTCTTTTCCTTGCTTTAGTTTTTTCTCTTCTTTCTTATCCTTGTATAAGATTGAAAATATTTTATAAAAGAAGACAAAACTAAGTACGATCGCACGATGAAAATGCCTTATTGTGAAAGTTACGACATAACCGCACGTACTAGTTCGCAGGTCAACAGCACGTGATACGACGTCTCTCCCCTTCTCTCTCTTTCTTTTTCTCCTCGACCGTGTTTCGTCTTTTACCCTGCTACAACTAAACACACACACACACAGGGTAATAGAAGAGAGACCAAGAGAGAGAGAAAGATACGCTCGTAAGCTTTGCTTTGCCGTCGTTCGTTGCACTGATTTTGTATATATATATATATATATATATATATATATATGTGTGTGTGTGTGTGTGTGTGTGCTTGCGTGCTGTTGCGTGTATGGATGGATGGATGTATAGTTTGAGTATACTGAGTGACTGATTCTAACGAATGAACGAACGAGTAAGTTAAGCAAGTTAGCGAATGCTTACAAGATTAGACTTTCTATGATTAAACGGAATACATCGTTGGGCGTTGTTAATTGTCCAGAGTGTGATAGAGACAGACAGACGGACTAACATAGTAGACCTCGACCGTAAATAACGTCGGCAGGTGGAGCTTCTGAATATCCACCGAACATTTGGCAGCTTAGGAATCGTAGCGTCCGGCGGCGCCACGTTAGATTTTCATTTATTCCTAACATAAAGTTGTGTCGAACGCGACATACAATAAAAAGAGAGTATCATCATCATTTCAATTCAAAGATATATTATCGTAGATATTTCCAAATCCCATGAGATTAAGCTCATTATTTCACTTCGTTTAGAATACTTTACATCCATCGATTATTATTCGTTAAATCTTATCAATGTAAATGTTGTCATAAACACACACACATATATATATATATATAACGTTTTATAAATGAAGAGCTTCTACGTTAGAACTGTTAGATTGAAATGTGTCGTTATCCTCAATAAATATTTAATTTAGGATCTTAACAACTTAAGAAAGTGCTTTCTTACAAGCTCAAATACGATTCCAAAATTGCAAAGATTGAATGATAAATAAGCCCTGAATTCTGTTTAGGATAAAAGAAAAATGCAAGTAATCGTATTTAAGATGGATGTATTAATGTGTTCTAAAAAATGAGCTTTTTCGAGAGAATCGGTATATAGAGTGGATTCCCTTAAAGTCATTTTTGGAGGCGGTGTAACAATAGGGCTAGGGTGGGGCACAGGCAAGCTGACATCAAGCAAACACTTAACGTAGGTAGATCAGTAACGATCGGAAGCCCTAGTTCCTTTACGTGGCACTAGATGGTCGCTGGAACCGACCAGTTTCTGCACCACTCAGAGAGAGAGAAAAAAAACTACTATGCTCGAAAAAAGTCCTGCGCAATTCTTCAAAATCTTCCTAACTAAATTTTCTTAGACTCCTTATTATGACTCATCGTCGACAACCAACACATTCAACGCAACTCGATTATGATCCTGAGAAATAAACGACTCTATCTTTTACTTTTGAAATTAGTGACTAAACGAAATGTTAATGGGTTTGTTCAAAACTTGTATGATCGTTAATTATATCTTTTCGAGATTTAATACAATTTTGACGAGGACATTAAGAATTTCATTTCCTGTAGATAAAACGTGCGAAACGTAGATGACCCATATTATGAAAATAGCCGAGCAAGTGAATAATTAACATTTTAACATGTGCAACATACACTTGCGATTCATTCATTCAATTATCATCGGGTTGTACCAATTTAAACTCGTATCGTATCGTCACTAGTTGCGTGTATCCAAAATCAGATTTTATTCCATCGACGTTGGAATTATAAAGAGAAGAAAATGGAAATAAAAGATGATCGAGACGAGGTTAGAAAGTATCTCGTTAAAATTTCAAACACGGTCAACGTACTCTTTTCTCCAAAGGCCAAAACAACGAGAACAGTTAAGAATGGAAGAGGAAGAGGAAGAAGAGGAAGAAAAAGAAGAAGAAGAAGAAGAAGAAGAAGAAGAAGAAGAAGAAGAAGAAGATTAGAAGCTTTCTCATGAACTCTTATTCTCTGGAATAATCGATCCTACTGTTCTCAAAGTTGGCGAGCGAGCAGGCGAAGGATCTCCTTCCCCGTACCCCGAGAAGCAAAGGGATTAAGGATTTCGTGGGTTCGTACTAAAGTTTCTCGTGTCAAATTGGCGGTCGGTAAAAAGACGTTCGATTCGCACGGTAAAATCTGTATCCTTTTCGTGGGACACGAGGGGTTTCTTGTAGCAGGTAAGTAAACAAGTAACCAAGTTACTAAGTACTAAGTGAAGAAGAAGAAGAAGAAGAAGAAGAAGAAGAAGAAGAAGAAGAAGAAGAAGAAGAAGAAGAAGAAGAAGAAGAAGAAGAAGAAGCAGCAGAAGTTAACATTCTCACCGTCTTTTGTGATGGCCTCTTGTGGTCATTCTACCATAGCACTGAAGTAGTATATAGAGAAAAGAGAGAAAAGATATAAGTATCTAAAAAAGATAAAGATGAGTCATCGGGAAGATGAAGAAGAAGATGAAACACTGAAAGAGTCACACGGTCGGATGCGTAAGTGAAATAGAATGGAGAGAAGAGACCATGAGGGCGAAACAAGAAAGGTAGAGACCGGGAAGAGAAGAGAAGAGAAGAGAGAGAGAGAGAGAGAGAAAGAGAGAGGGAAGACCACAAGTGTTTCCCCTGCTTGCTGAGGCGTCGATATATCAGCAGTCGGCGAAAGAAGCTCAATGTGGCGGTAAAAGCGGACGGTAATGCAGATTGTGACCCGTGCACTAGGTGTCTCCTGTTACCGCGTTGCATTGTGTGTGCAGAGTCGTGCATCTCGGTGATCCTCCCCCCTTCTACCCCTTGCTTGAACCCCACATTAATCTGCCATATCTCTACTTCTTCTGTAGATTCCTTTCACAACTCTAAGACTCTAGCGA